GGCAGCACTGGGTTGGGATGTTTTCTTGATGTGCACTTACCCTTTATATACAACTCTCTCTAATACATGAGTTTCTGTGGATTTGTTTCTCTAAAGTACCCAGGCTAACACACGGTGAGATGGGCATATTACCTGAGCCTCAGTGTTCTTGTCTGTAGATAAGGGGATGAGTTATTTTATGGGATCCCCAGTGTTCTTATCTGTGAAATAGGGGGATGAGCTGTAACCTGCCAGCTTCACAGGGTTTTTGAGGGTCTAGTGAAATCTGTGGGAGAGCACTTTGCAAAGTGCAGTGTCCACAAGATGAAAATGCATTGCTGCGATTGGCAAAGACAAGAAGGACCGCACGCTCCCATGCCTCGTGTGGGGGACAACCTTCAGGCCAGGCTCTGCTGGCAGGGCACATGGAGCCCGGGAGAGTGGAGCTGGAAGAAGGCATTGAGACCATTCTGTTCCTTACCCTCATCTTTCCACAGAAAGCGAAGGCCCAGAGATGGCAGCGAATGGTAGGCAGCATTTGTGGTGCTTCAGTGGCATCCTTCTCTCTCTCTAAGTGGGACACTCAGCCCTAATGCCTGGCCAGTTCACGTCCAGTGCACCCATGACCTGATTGCCAGTGGAGGCTCATGTGCTGACATCACGCAGCATGGGTTTCAGGGGAGCTTCCAGACGACCAGAGTTGGAAGCAAAAGCCTGGTACTCTGCCTTTGGCGCCGCAGGCGATGGGAACTCCATGAAGCACAACTGTCTGACCCCATGGTGCATGGGGGTTGCCTGACTGGGGCCCGGTCCATGGAGACTAACAACTATGCAGAAGTGCATCTGTGAATGCCAGCACTGGCCAGGGGGTCCCTGGCTGGCCCCTGTGACAAAGGACTTGGCTACCAACTGAAAGGGGAGTTTGAACCGAGCTGGCAGCACGTTGGAAGAAAGACCTGGTGATCTGCTTCAAGGTCGCAGCCTTGACAAACCCACAATCCCTGCTCAGCAACCAGAGGTCGCCACCAGTCAGAACCCTCACCCTCAGCGGAAACCCGGTTTGCTCTGGGCCTGAGGGGCATCTTTGGTGGGCATCCAGGCCAGTCGAACGAGTGGAAAGGAGACTGGCTGTAGAGGAGGTCACAGGTGGGTTGTCAGGTCCAGGGGTAGGACCAGCTCCCCTGGACCCTGTGATCTGTGAGATGCACTTCGGTCTCCCCATGCCCCTGTCCACTCTTTACCACCATCTCTATCTCACGGGCTGTTTTGAGGATTAAATAACAACGTCACACTAGACAGAAATGGCATAGCACAATGCCTGGCTA